GGATCGACTCACACTTGCGTGTACCAACGATGATGTGTAGAGCTGCCCATAGAACCTCTCAATCTCACTCAAAATCTCAGGTGTCCCGGAAACGATGCTGCCAGATTCAGTCTTCAGCTTTGAAAGTTGGCTCTTACTGGCAAACAGATCTCTGGCAAGGACTTTGGAGCCCTGGTTCCGCTCGATCGCTTCTTTAATACTAGCAGTATTAAAGTTGCGTAAGTCTTGCCGCATGCATTTGGAGATCCGTCTGTTCAGTTGCCTGTGTGCTGTCAAATCTGTTGACGATTGCAGTCTCATCTCCCGTCTAACAGCCATGAGATTAAGAGTGTGATCGGAGAGTTTTTGTGTTCTTCTGCGGCGGGTCTTGCAGAACTTAGCTCCGACCGCATGGACAGTATCCACGAGCTTGTCATTCATATCGTCCACTGCATTGCAATCTTCTAGGCACTGAAAGCGGTTACGTAACTCGAGCTGAAAGGTTTCGGGATTCTGGATTAGAGTACGAGGTGGACGGAGTGTTGACTTCAATAGACGAGACCTCTCCAACTTAACGTTTAGGTTCAATGTGCCTCTAACCATTCGGTGATCGCTGCCAGTTTTCACCCTTGTGATCACTGAGACATCACTGAACAGATGGCGTCTGGTCGTCATAATGAAGTCAATCTCATTTTTTGTCGTACCGTCGCGGCTCGACCAGGTCCACTTCCTGTGGGGCCGCTTCTGAAAGAAAGAGTTCATCATAAAGAGTCCCTCTTTCTCCATGAAGTCGGCCAGCTGCTGGCCCCTTCGGTTCCGTTGCCCTACTCCGAATTTCCCTAACTTCAGTTCACCGTTTTTTCTTGTGCCTAGTTTTGGGTTTGCGTTGAAGTCTCCCATCAACACCGTGTAGCGGGTTTCGGAGGAATGCATGTCTCTGGAAATATCCTCATACATTTCCTCCACCTCCTCATCGGGATGTGCCGAGGTTGCTGTGTAAACCTGTATGACCTTCATCGAATACTGTGTGGTGATTCTGAGTATCAGGTACGTGACCCTCGTCGTCATACTCCCAATCTTTACAACTTTATTGACGAGAGACTTGTGGACGATGATCCCGGTGATAGAACAAGTTGCCGGACTCGAGGATTACCGTGTCCTCCCCCTCTCTTCGGACCTCGGATAATCCAATAACATGCCAGCGCAACTTGTCTACCTCTTCTTCCAGCTAATATAAACCTTTAAATACGCCTAGAATAATTAAACTTTAATACTTAAGAGCCCTGTACCTATTAAAGTATGAAGAAATGTTTATAGAATTAAAATTTCATTTTTCCTCGCCGATTAGCACTTTAACACACTTATATTCATCACAAGGAACACTATTATCCTCCCATTTTTACTAAAAAACTTTAAAAAAGCATAAATTTTTAACAGACACAACAAAAACAAATATAAATATTGAAATGAGAAGTGAGCTTGCATACCGTATTACCGTACCCCCACTCGCTAACGCATTTCCAAACAACTTCAGGGCAAAGCACGGCTTTTGGTTCCATAGTAATTGATCCCTCTCTCTTCGGACCTCGGATAATCCAATAATATGCCAGCGCAACTTGTCTACCTCTTCTTCCAGCTCCAGTATATTCTCGTCAGTCCTCAGGGTGCGTGCGTTATATGTTACCATGTCGAGTCGTCGTAGGTGGCAACCGAACCTCCACCGGAGATTCTTAGCACCCCCTGCCCCGCCGTTACCACGGTCGCCACCGTAGCCAGGAATAGCGGGACCGCCGGGGACTGGGGGCCGTTTGTTTGCGTCGTTATTCATGGCGGGGATATTTGCCATAGTTGCCACGCTTGGCGGGCGGGTTGGCAACCGCAGTTTTTTTATTTTATCACTGTTGTTGTCAGGAAGATGCTACTGTCCATCTCCTGCCTGTCTCCCTCTGTCGCCTCTTACGATACCCATGGGAAGATATGGGGTAGTGGATATTCTCAACCGCCACTACCCGCCACTACACGGCCAGTTACAAAATAACTATTAATATCATTTATTAAAATAAAAAAAAATTGTAAAATATTTTTGTTTTTAAAGTAAAATCCAATACGTCCATAACGATATGTAAGCCATCAATCCGAAGCTACAACACATGAGTATATAAAGAATGAAACAGAGATAAGGCTTCATACAACCGCGCGAATCGGTTGCACTACTACAAGCAAGCGGGGCATGTGTGCGCGCGTAATGTGACAACGACCAGTGGACAATCTCAGGGGCGTTGTTTGTGTTGTTAGTGGCAAGTTTGAATATTTTTATGTAAAAACGTGGTATTATTAACAATGTTGGTTTATTGTACTGTGTGTATGAATAATAATAGAAAAATAAAAATATGCCTTACTTGAACTATCCCAAGGAAAACAATAGGTAAGTTAATATTTGATTATTACTTTTTTAAGTACCTTTATTTAATTTTATGATCCTTTTTTTTAATAAAAAGAGTAAGGTAAAGGTACTACAAGGTGTGTTTTTAACTTTTTATTGTTATAACAAGCTTTTACTAAACATTTGTAGGTATGTGAGTGGGTTGGTACGTAATAGGTATGTGTGTTAATTTCACATATTGCCAGTAACATTTGAAGCACTTCTCGATGTCTGATTGAGTTGAAATTTTGTATAGGTACCGTTACTTCGGTGACAATGCAATAATATAATAGATATAACCTAGTACTGCAGCCAGGATTGTCTCCTCATTAGGGATTCTTCAACGGGTAGTAGCAGGGGCACGAAATTTTGTGATAGTTTAATTTTGATAGTTTAACACGATTTTTATCACGAACTGCTGCTGCAGCCAGCATTGTCTCCTTACGAGGGAACTCTTTAACGGTTAGTAGCTTGGACTCGTTCATCAGTTCATCTCCTTTGTATTTGAATTTAATTTTTTTTGCTAAACATGATCTTCATTATAAACTGCTGTTGTAGACAGGATAGTCTCCTCACGAGGGAACTCCTTAACAGCTATAGTAAACTTTATGTTGGATACAGAATTTACCACACTATTAAAAGAAACAATATATTATTAAAAACAAAAATTATAGAAAGAAAATTAGTAGAGTAAGTAATTTGTAAAGTATTCTATCATACTGAATAATAAAACTAACAAATGTTTTGTTTAATTTGTCTTCACCTATTGTGACAACCTTACCAAAATAGGTAACAATTTTACACGTTCTTAAGAAGCTTTGTCTGTGTTCCGTTTATCTACTCATGTGGCAATAAGATCTTTCGCAATAACATCGTAAACGTGTACGGTCTGTACAACAACCGAAGTCTAAATCACGATATTCGGCGCTCACCGGGCTGAATAGCTTACCTGGCGGATTAAAATTTTAATCTATTATAAACAACAAAAATTTCAAAATGTACTAGCGGCTTGAGACAAAGAACCGGCAAGAAACTTGAAGTGATACTATAATTTTTACATTACAAATGACTGGAATAATGGTGGTTTTATAATTTATTTTATTGTGCCAGCTGATCACTAGCGCGGCGCCTATATATTGTTTTTCATACATTCTTATGCCTATAGCTGTCGTCAATACTGGGTACGTTTAACAGTTTCTCTAAACAGTTCTTCTGGCAGTTCGCTAGATAAGAAATAATATTTATATAGTTTTAGCTAACCTCACTTTAGGGATTACCATTTTATTGTTATATTATGGGATATACATATAACATATTGTTAAGAGCTTAGCGTCCGTGACAAAAAAACTGCCGATTGAATTACCAAAATTTACACTTTTATTACCGAACACCAATTAAAACTTTAAAGACACTAATAATTAATCACACTGATTCACTTAATTTCGCTCCGCAGCTTCACTTGTCTCGCCAAATTCAATACTGCCCCGATCGCGGCTTGCAGCGGCTTTAAATACAACTTTTACACCGAAACATCCAGAATATTCCAGTAAATACGGGCGCCGACCGACCAGACGCAGGAAGTTCGAGTGTGGGGCTTCTATAAAGCTTAATTCTTCTGTTCGATACTAGATGGCAATTTGTTGATCGAAAGTTCAAGATTGACATTTTCTAGGAAGCCCTCCTCGCTCTGGTCCCCGACACTAGACGGCGCTTGTGCCAGGTACCTGACGTCAACTTAGGCGCGGAACAATATTATATTATATATTCCATACAGTCCAAAATGGGATATATATATATATATATATATATATATATATATATATATATATATATAATGTAACGATGAGGCATCTTCCTACAAGTAAAGCCTCCTACTCGTTGCTGTATCCAGGCTTCGAAAACCAGCAAGTTTGCTCTAATGACGTCCATTCATAACGCTTTTTGTAAAGTCAAACGTATAATGTCGCCAAAGTGTTTTAATGTCCATGTCGTTTAACTGATTATAACGTTTTGTCTGGCCTACTACCACCGCTCTGCACTAGTTCGTAGATCTGGTCATACACTATCGTACCCATGTTCGTCAGTATAACCAGAATCAGAATCAGGAGCCAGAACTGTTGCCGCCTCCAAGGATATTTAAATTGACGAATTAAAGTATCGAGTTGAACACAGTGCAAACCCTACAGTCTGACAAAAGGAAGCAGTTCAAAGGTACGGTCGTCTGCGATCATGAGTTCTCCTGCCAAGTATGGTGATCGCATCAAACCCACCACATTATGAGAGAGACATGTTTATCAGTGGTTGGCTTACAATGATATCTAGTATTTAAAACTACCTGATAGGATTCCATGCGCCGTCCGTAAGTTTTGTCCGATGAGAATAAGTCCAAAGAATTGATGATTCCCGGCAGTCTTCACTCCATACACGAGCTGTCCAATCTCCCACAGTCAGAAAATTTTTCAAGAAGGTCGGATTCCTTTGAAGAGCATAAACTGGTCCATGATGAGCTTCATACTATTAAAGAGAAGTTATTTATAATAGATAAACCTGTGTTATTTATAATAGATATACATACGTACGGATGTATTTAATTACTTACTTTAGAAGGAAGCTTTTCCAATGGAGTCTTTCCTTTACGATTTGCTCCGATTACTAGGCCTGTTTCTGTTCCCACCATGAATCTATAATTATTATATATTTTACTAGATTTTATGTAAGTATATGGAATTTTATTTGTGCAGGACTTTAAAATGATCCACAATATTATGTTTATTGTTGAGATAATATAAAAATAATAATTTGATTTTTAGAATTTTGCATTAGACGTATTTTCAGCATCGCTGGAATGACTACTCTGTATGTATTATTAGAAAAATTAGGATTTAACAGAAAATTTCGAAAATTAGCTACGACTTACCTACACAAAGGTATTCATAAAAATATTTACAGGCTTTAATTTTAAATACTTAAACAATTAACAAAAGGCATTATTTTTTTACCTAGTTGGTATGGTTGGTTCATATTCTAAAGCAGAAATTCCTAAAGCGTTTTCCATATTCTGTGCATCGTTTGGTAATTTTACTAGATCGATTATCATAGAATCTGTAGGTTCGCTCATGTTTCGTGTATCCCACCTGAACAGTATTAAAGAACAATTAATATTTATTTATATATTGAGATAATATATATAAAACTAATTGATATGTTTTATCAAAACCCTTAATAGGCAGATGGCACAACAAATATCTTATATTAAGTCCTCTTTATGTTCCTCTTTAAACTGTTTAATTCCAGAAAGGAGGAGATTAGCAGCAGCTACTATAAATGTATTTTCTTATAATTAGTTCGTGTTTACTTCCATTGTTTTCATATAAATGTTTCAGGAAACTTTTTAACTTTATTTACCTCTTTTATGTGCCTACAAGGCTGGAGTGTGTGGGTTTCTGAGTTTGTTTATACCTACTATAATTGTGACAATGAATCCGAGCCCACCTTCGATCTTTTCGCAAGCGTTACGTCGGGGATGGGTAGTGTAACCCAGTGGCAATACGTATGTATTAGAAAAAGCCGACAGGTTGTTAATTTTACATACTTAGACATTATCTTATAGACTCTTAAAAATACTCACACAAATTCATTGTAAGGTAAATTTAATTAAAGATGGGTACAATTAAAAATGAGAGACTTTAGGATCTCAGGTATAATATTAACTTTATAAGAAAATTGAAAGCAAATTCAAGTAGGTAATACCAGCAACAGTAGATAAAAGTGTAAATAAATTCCCTCATTGCATTGTTGTAGGAGCCGTGGTAGCTCAGATGGTTAGCGCTCGCTGTAAATATCACAGTACGCTAGCAAACCGGGTTCGATCCCCGCCGGCACCAATGAAATTGTTAATTGCAATTTTAAGTGCTGATTTACCACGTGCTCGGCGGTGAAGGAAAACATCGTGAGGAAACCTGCATGTCTGAGAAATAAGAAAAAAAAATATTTCGAAAACATGTGAAGTTCGCCAACACGCATTGGGGCAGCGCGGTGGACACTTCCTTGCCCTAAAACCCTCTCAGAAATGAGGGGAGGCCTGTGCCCAGCAGTGGGACGTATATAGGCTGTAGCTTTAACCTTTTAACTTTTTGCATTGTTGCGATATTTGATATAGTTGTCACACTTGGTAACCGCAATTTTTTATAAGTTGTTATCAGAATGATGCCAACACCCATAGGACGAAATTAAGTGATGGATTCCATCACTCACGATATGACACAAGAAATTTTACATTCACGAGGAAAAAAGTCTAATTAGTAGTAAACAGTAGAGATTCGTTACGGTTTTGTCCGTTAGAAAATTCATAACTTCTTTAGTAACGCGGGGGCACAATGATACATAAACAGATATTAGCTTTACCCGAACGGGCAGGCAATTGCCGAGGAGGACACCACATAATTTAGTAAATATAATGGCTTACCATTTAACAACACCATCAGGGGACGAGGAAAAACATTCTGCGCCGGTTTTCGAATTTATGAACAAAACGTTACGCACGAGATCGCGATGAGCCATGTGCGGTGGGCAAACTCCAACCGGATCACTACCTTTACGAGTGTCCCACCAGCCTACCTGAAAACTCCCACACTTATATATATTTACAATATCTTTTACTTTTAAAATGCCTTTTTTTAAAATATACCTGCCCATTCATCATACCACCAACAAGTGTATGTTGATCGCGTGGGTTGTACTGCAAATCCAGCAATGGTTGAGGCGGCTTTATTTTCAGCTCCGGTGCGTTTGCATTTTCTGCCAAAAAGAATTAAGTTCAGTTTTACCGTATTAGGTAATACATCTAATGGAGGAACACAGTTACCTATATCCCAAATGTATGATAATTGCAACGTTCTGTTGTTTCTCATAAATTCGACGTCAGCATGAGCCGCTGCCAGCCTAGCTCCACCATCAGTCTGCCATGACAGAGATCTTACTGGCCTCCTGATGCCGGGCTCTCGATATACGTTCACAGTATGGCAGCTGCTTTTTTCTACCGGTGGAATCCTTGGCAGTTCCGAATAGTATATTTGATACATGTCTACTGCATTGTTTTGCAAAATATTGTGCTCCATGCTCTGCAACGTTTTATATAAATATTAAATTGTAATAAATTTAATTGATCTAGGACAGGCCCACAGATAGTAATCTGTGGATAAGCCACTCAGAAAGTTTTGCGAATTTTTTTTACAAGTATAAGACACTGACACTGGCCAGTTTTAAGTTATTATGAAAGTATTATGATATATATGCAAGAAAAAATAGAATTTTATATTTTCAAATTTCCCTCTTCAGTTTTTTTTTAATAAATTGAAATATATAATGATTAATTGAAAAAGTATGTACGTTGGAAAAAATACCTTTGTGTAGTTAGAAACGGGCCCACGTGGAATGGTGCACCACATCAAGTTGAAGCTGATCGTCTCGGCCTGACGTGCGTAACGTTTTGTTCATAAATTAGAAAACCGGTGCAGAATTTTTATTCGTCGTCCCGTGATGGTGATGTTAAATGGTAAGACATTATAAGTATTTATTAAATTGTGTGGTGTCCTCCTCGGCAGTTGCCTACCCGTTCGGGCAATGATACATACACAGATATTAGATCTGAGTATGTATCATTGTGCCTCCCCGGTACTAAAGAAGTTATGAATTTTCTAATGAACAAAACCGTTACGAATCTCTACTGTTTACTACTAATTATGTTTTTGCCGCGTGGATATAGACTTTTTTGTGCCATGTCGTGAGTGAGGGAATCCATCACTTATCCATCCACCACTTTCGTTTACGACATTATTACGGATGATGAATTTGAATTTATCAATACCTACGTTCCAAAAACTGAGCTCCACGGGCTACTGCTTCACCATAACAACGCGCCCGCGCACTCATCAAAACGAGGAGTTTCCTTTACAGCACACCGGTTTTGGGTCATCCTCCGTATAGCCCTGATTTGGCTTTTCAATTTGGAATCTGATAAAGTTTTCCATGCTAAAATATGCGCTAGCGGCCTTCGAACAGGCCGTAGTGGAGGTGTCTGAGGTGAGGTTGAGGAGTGTTTCGAAAACTGGTTGAGACGCATAAAACTTTGTACGCTGAGAATTATTTTTCAATATTTAATAATAAAAATCATAGATTTTTTTTATAGTTTTGCACAACTTTCTGAGTGACCTAAGTATACCTAATATTTTAAATATGTTCACCCTTACATGGCCAAGATGCATTACGGCATGAATATAAGCGTCGTCTTTTTCAATTTTACGTCGGTATCTCTGCGTGGCTTCGGGATCGTTCATGTTAATATCTTTAGGCCAACCACCTTCTATATGATTAATACCGGAATTTGTATATTCCGCTCTGAAACCCAGAATAACACTAGACTGCCTTACTATATAAAATTGCTCGCAGTATTGAATAACAACTTTTGTGACACAATTTATAACAACGATATAGATTTTGCTTAATGTAGATATGCACTGATTTTCAGTCCGGTCCACATTTCGAGCAGCTCGGAATTTTCTTTGCAAATGCATCAAATGTACACGCCCTTAGTTACCCCAACAAAGGTCGACTGGACCGAGGACCATGAGTGGTTCCCTCGACGAGCAACCAAGGGTGGAGCTCAAGTGGCCTATGGATAACGATTCCAAAAACGGCTGACAAAGAAGCAAGCACCACTTACCGATTGGCGGAGGTAGAGTTGACCACGAGGTACCTGTCAGGTGGGAAGTGATGTGCATGTAAGTAGTGTGTAGTAGTGTGTACACTGTGTAACCTGACAGCCCCGCTGATCCAGGACTGCCGATCCAAAGGCGCTGCTTCTCTCCAAATGTGAGATCCCTCCAGGGGGGCGTTCACCAATTGAAAGCTTCTGCTTCTATTTTCACTATGTTAATTTATCAACTTTATTGTACATTTAATTAACTTCAAATTCAACCAAATCAACGTTAATCGACATTAAACCAAGTGACACGCTGCACAACTTAAGGACGGTTGATCAAAGTTCAAGGTACAGGTTCACTTAGCACAAAACTATAACCACGAGAACGAACGCGGTCTCTTCTTGAGGCACAAAGTTCAGCGTTCTCCCGACAAAGTAAAAGTCTTATCACGCTATCAAACGACGCACTAACAACTCGTCGATACAATTGACGGCATAAAAGTTCCTTTAATCACTCCAAACTCAAATTAGGCCTCTTGTCAAGTAACACGTTCAAAACAGACTACTAAATTTGAGGCGGTCTAAACTAGACCCAAAAAATTCAATAGTAAAATAAAAATGGCGCGCACAATTAACCCAAACTTTAGGCCTGCAAGTCAAAACACCGGCCTCGCCCAACCGTCTAACGGTCGCAAACAATACTCAAAAGTGTTACAACAATAATTATATAATATGGCCTCGTTATCACGAAAAACAAATTAAGATAACTCGTAGGAGGCTCGTGGCGGACCGCCGCGCCACAATTTTATGTCATCACGTTTAGACAGCCGCGGCGTGGCGATATGGCGTGGCGGACACTCCACTCGGCCACAGAGCTCCGACCCCAGGAAGCGGCCTACGGCCGCCCCCCGGCGGCGTTTACCTCACCTCGATACCGTCGGGTGACCGCGCAGAGCGCGCGTATTGGATGCAATTTCAAATGCTCATCTTTGACCCAAACATCAAATATAAGATAGAATTGTTCTTTGTTTTTTGTTTGTTTGTTTTGTTTTTTTCTGCGATTGTTTTTTATTTAGTGCTTATATTACCCCTTCCAGGAAAATAAGGTATACATACATATCTTAATATATATAAATTACGTGTCACGTTGTTTGTCCAAGATGGACTCCTAAACTACTTAACTGATTTTAATCAAATTTGCACACCGTGTGCAGATTGGTCCAAATTGAGAGATAGGATAGTTTTTTTTTGCCTATGAGTGACCCACATTTTTTTTGCGTATTCAAGGATTTTTAATAGGACATGACAAAGAGCCGTCGAAAAGGGCAGAACAACGTCTGCCTGGCAAGCTTGTACATACATAAAACGTAGCAACGTATTCACTTTTTTATTGCTTATTATCTGTATGTATAGTAAAAAATATTTAGTCGTAATTATAATTGAACTAAATGAAACAGTCAAATTGCCATGTAATAGCAGCGAAATATAATCTACTACATACTTCACATCATCCCGTGTTTGTCGTAGGAAGAGTCAGGGGGAAATGTAACAGGAGATAGAGAGCACGATCTCCCCGATAATAATTCAATATAGTAAAAACTGCGGTTAACAAAGCACATACGTTATAAGTTTTCTTTCTCGCACAACCTCCTTGTGGAATCAACTAACACCATAGATTTTTCCGGGCCGATACGACTTAGGGACTTTCAAGAAAAGGGCCTATTCCTTTTTAAAAAGCCGGCAACGCATCTGCAATTACTCTTGTGTTACAGTTGTTCATGGGCGGCGGTAATCAATCAATTACCATCGGGTGAGCCGTATGCTCGTTTGCCTTCTCTGCTACAAAAAATATGCTTATTTTCGACAGTGGACTTTGAAAGAATGCGGTCTATAATACAACTGCAAAACTTTAGGTTATTTAGACGACTGGCAGTGAATAAGAACCGAATTAAATATTTCTATTACATTAATATAAACATAGACACATTACTTAGGGATGAAACCTTTAAAATTTATATGGTCCCATATAAATTTTAAAGTTAAGTATATTTACAGAGGTTTCCGAAAAATCGGTGAACTTACCTAAACAAGTAAATAGCGAAGTAAAGTCGAATACAAACTCGGTTATAAAGATACTGAAAGACACTTTTAAGTATTTGAAAACTGTTTTTGGATAAAAATGCAAACTTAAAATGACGGCAACGTAAAATACACAAAAGTAAAAATGAGTATTAAAACTTGTGAAACTAGGAATGTAAAATCCCTTAATCAAAAAATAATAAAAATAAAATCGATATGACTCCTTCAATTCTTTATTTTTTGAGTACAAATTGTGAAAAAAGGGCTACTGAAAGACTATACCTTACTGAATTGACCCAGTGCTCCGACATGGTTGAAGTATTTTGTATGGCAACATGTACAGGATTTCGTAGTATGTAATTTTTATAATAGTTTGGATTACAGGGAATACTGACACACATTTCTGGACCATGATCTTCAAAAAGGGTTTGTTTTCCAAATTCCCTTCTACGTTTTGTGTATTCGTATGTGATTTCATTTTTTTCTGATTTGTCCATGTTTTCAAAATGTTGATTGAGTTGCAGTTAGATCAATACCGTTACCAGGGTTTTGTTAGGCTACGTTTGCTGCGTAGTAAAAACTGGTTTGTTCACGGGATTTCAGAATTCATATAACACGCTTATAAAACCGAAATTAAATTAAAACCGAAAAAACATTAAATATAATACTATGTCTTTCACAACTAATGTTTGTACAATATTGTAATACAAACAATTTGAATAATTCTACAGAAAATTCTTTTATATATAGCATATAATTTAAGCTAAGTGTAATTCTTTTCTACCGAAATTCTTAGATTTTTAGTAACATAAGAGCATTGGCGTACTGCATACGACCCGAATCCGACAAAATTATATGTTGATCTGAATCCTAAGTATTATTTGTATGAGGGGTTACGTCCTACATCCGAATTCCGTATTACCGTATTACGATATCGGCCGTGCATAGAAAATTAGGAGAGCCTTGTTATTTTCTATGCCCTCTTATGATATGGATATCAAATGAAAGGGTTCGCTGTGAAGAAGACGAATAAAATGACGTCCGCGTTCAGCTCTTCGAGGAAATGGTGTATACTGCCCGGCTAAACGGTAAGACTTAACGGGGTATTATCTTAACTAATATCGACATAAACCCTGGGCAATTTCTAGCAGTGATGAAAACCAAATTTAAATAGATACCAATTTTAAAGAGTTATAGCTCGACAAAGGTTATGTAGGGATAGTTTGGTGGCGCTCAAAGTAGGAGGAACCGACAAAGGTCAATTCCAGTATGATTAAAACTACTTTTACGGATTTTATCGCGTTTATTTTTGCTTTTAATTACTTTTATTTTTTATTCCCGACGTTTCGGGCGCATCAATTCTGATGTAATGGTTGGGGCCGTCCAGGATATGATCACAAACTGCAGACTTCCCGGAACGTTGATGCTTCACATAGTTTACATAGATCGGACCATAAACAATAATTAAAAAAGCTGAAGGTACTCCGGGTTTAACAATGACATCGGGACGTCAGTCATCTCAGTCCCCCGTGACCATGGGTGCTGGAAAGCGCCCGAAACGTCGGGAATTAAAAATAAAAGTAATTAAAAGCAAAAATAAACGCGATAAAATCCGTAAAAGTAGTTTTAATCATGTGTAGTGTTCGCGTAAATATAAGAAATCATTATGTCAATTCCAGTAGTTGATCTTTGTCAGTTCCTACAACTTTAAACGACTGACTTAGAAACATGTATGTTTCTACTCATTATTCTATATTTGTTGACATAATTTATAAGGAGGTTTGAAGTGCAAAAATTTCAGAATTAAGTCACTATTTCAGTCTCCTAACAATTTTTCATGTTTTACACCTCAAGTGAATATAATTTAAGTTTACTAATTAACTCTTTCTTCTTCTTATATATCTACATTTGTATATTGTTTTGTATTTATTTTAGTTTTAACTAATTTTTGCACTTTCCATACATATTTATATCCATTTATTGATTTTCATGCAGGGTTATTTTTCAAAGAGCACGTAGCCAAGTTTTAAATTTAAGTTCAAATATATAAAATAATTGTAAATCGTTATTGCAGTTTTTGAAAATATGAGTAAATAAGGCTTCTACTTTTATTTGAAATTATCCCAAATTGAATGTGATTTCTGGGCAACAACGTTTTTGCCTACAGATCGACCCTTGCGAATATGTACGTGCGCAGTAAAATCAGTGTTTTGTGGGCAGCCGTCATTAATTTCCCACAATTAAATGACACTTTTTGGTTTAAGGGCATAGTTTATTCTTTTTCCACCAATTTTGAAATTAAAATAACTACAACTTAAAATCGCTCGACAATGTTGCTATCAACTTTCTCAATCAAACTTCTGCTGTGGGATATGCTACATTGCCAACTATGAACCATATCCGTTGCCAGAGACTAGTATTTAAAGCAAGTTTTTGTTTTGAAGTGCCGTCTGCACTACAAATATCTTGGTTACAAGCACCGGAATCTTCTATTGCATGAGACATGGCATTTATTATGTTTTTGTGAAGGTTTTTTATGTTTTCTGATTTGGTCCGATTTTGTGAATTGTGAAATTTAATTGAGTCACATATATATTTTTGCGCTTTTAATATAACATTTTTTGATAATATATTTCTTTGTGCAAGAGGGTACTTGGTGTCATTTTTTAATGTGTGCAATTTGTTGCAGAAATTTCTAAGAATATTGTTCTTGCGACCAAGTTTTTCGACAGTTATAGATGGATATGGCCGGATATCAAGAATTTTTGCATAAGTGCTACTGTCGCCATCAGCAATGTATCATCTTTCATATAAAAGTCCATGCATTTCAATGGATTGTTTGAATCCTTCAGCAATAATTGAAGATCCACTATAGTTTTTAAAGCATTCGTGAAGTGTAACCGTCTCGTTTATTTTCCGCTCTGGCATAACTACAGAAATATTTATTTTTAACTGCCATAAACAAAAACTGACCAAATCCTATACCTATTATGGTTGCAGCTCCAGATAATGCAGCATAGTTGGTTTTATAAGAACGTTTGCATCAACAACAGTTTAGGATTACGTCAATTATAGGTATGCCGTCTTTAGTCACGCTTCCTTCCTTAATAGTTGCTTTTCTCTCTGGGTCTCCAGCTTGTCTCATTTATTCCCATGCGGTCACCTACCATTCATCACAGACTAAATCTTGATTAATTTTATATGTATGTTCGGACATGACTGGTAAATCAAGGGCTGCTGTTAATCGATTTAGTTGAGCGTTACCACAACCAGCTGCCATCATCCCAGCAACTGATATTTTGTTAAAATTAAGTTTTGAGTTTTGAATATTGAATTGTTTTTTTACACATTGAACATGTGAATGTAAAAACAGACGATCGACCAGAAACTTTTCCAAATTTTGATTCCATGGTATTTAGGCCGCAATCTGCAATTCGTGGCTTAAAATCCTGATCAGTTCATCAAAAAAAAAAAATGTTTGATATCGATAACTCTATGTCCTCTAACGTCAGAAGTTTTGGGATTCGAAAAAACATTGTTTAATTTTTTAGTATCAAGGTAGTTAAATCAGTGGAAGTAGAATAAAATCGAATAGTGAGGTTTGGTCTCTGGCAAATATATACAGTAAAAATATTGTAATTTAAGTAGACACATTACTATTAACCTCAACTGCGTATGACACTGGTTCATCATTATTTACATTTAGTGATAATGTATATACGGATAATAGATATAATATTCTCAAAATGACTCACTTGTTGATTTCAGTCTCTTCCTTTTTTTACAGACTAAAGGCGATTCTACTGTTTTTATTTCTACTGTTCTGATAACGCAAGCGGCCGACGATGGCGGCTGCGGCAAGTTAGTAATACCGCTAAATTGTTGTTCTACTCTGGAAATGTACGAATATAAATTACAAATTTTCAATAGGTAATCGAAGATATATATATATTTTTATGGGATAGGGGGGCAAACGAGCATACGGTTCACCTGATGTTAAGTAATTATCGTCGCCCTTGCAAAACCGAAACATCAGGAGAATTGCAGGTGCATTGCCAGTCTTTTAGAAAGGAGTAATCTCTTTTTTTAAAGGTACCTAGGTCGTATCAGTCCGAAAAATTGCCGGTGGTAAACTATTCCATAGAGAGGTCGTACACGAAAGAAAATTCCTAGTGAAACGTACAGTAGCGGACCGCCAAGCATCCAGATGGTGTGGATGGTATCGGGAGGTTTGCCGCGTACTGCATTCTTGAAATTTGGTGGCTGGGATTAATCCTAACAATTCTTCAGAGCACTCCCCGTTGTATATACGAAAGAACATGCAAAGAGATGCAACATTTCTTCGCAGCGCCAGTGAATCGAGCCGTTCGGAAAACATTCGGAAAACATTCGGTCGTCGACGATTCGAGCCGCTCTGCGCTGGATGAGGTCAAGTAGAAGGAGGTGGCGCTGAGGAGCCCCAGCTCAGAGATGGGAACAGTATTCCATGTGAGGCTAAACCTGCGCCTTATAAAGTTGCATGAGGTGTGCTGGCATGAAATACTGTCCCGCTCTGCTGAACACGCCAAGCTTTATAGAGGCCAATTTGACCTTCTCTTCCAAGTGACCATGAAACTGCACGTCACTCAATATGTCGACGGCAAGGACTCCGATACTGGCTCAGGCAACAAGGAAAGTGCCTTGAAACTGAGGAGATACGACGAAGGGGTTCTTTTTAGCGGTTAACGTGCAAACTTGTGTCTTCTAAGGGTTAAACTGGACTAGATTTAGTCGCCTCCAATACGAAACTTTGTTCAGCAAAGACTCATCTTCGGACACAAGTTTGTCTCGTTATTCGGAGACATTTTCCCGCGAAATATTGGTACGGCCGGTGTACAGAGCATCACCAGTGCTGTCATTCGCATAGTAATGAATATTACCGGTTTGCAACATATCATTGATATGCAGAGGAAACAGCATTGGTGATAGCACGCAGCCTTTACAAGCCTATTAATGCTGACGCTTCAGGCAGCACTAATAGTCTTGGAAACGCAATGTCCAGACTAACGGCCAATACGAGTATACTACGACCTTGATGCTCTGATCAGCAAGAAAACTGGTGATCCAATCGCACAATTTCTCGGGAAGCCCATAGGAAGGAAACTTCGTAGGAAGGACTTTGTGCCAAAACCGAGCGAAGAAAGCATTCGCTATGTCCAAACTAACGGCCAACGTCTCCCTCTTGGACTCTACTGCCTCCGCCTATCGATGAGTCAGGTAGACCAGAAGATCACCAGGTGACCCCGACAAAAACTGTATTAGCGGTAACTAATCAGCTGGTGATCCTCAAGGTACCGCGTGAGCTGGTAGTTTATAATTGATTCCAATATTTTGAGATCAAGGAGGTGATGGCGATAGGCCTGTAGTTTGCCTTCTCGCCTCGCCTTTTTCAGGGATCGGGCGGATGAAAGCCGTCTTACACGATTTTTGGACCATGCCTAGGGTACCGGAAAAGACC